TGTGTGTGTGTGTGTGAGACCGGATTCTCACCCCTGGCCATATACATACATACATATTGGTTAGGTTACTGTAGTGGTCCTTTACAATTTATGGATCTTTACATATGTACATACATACACACATACAAACATACATACATACACACCTACATACATACACATCTACATACATACACACAGACACAAACACCACGACACACTTTCCCGTCGTCAGTGTACACATGTGAGATTTTAATGTGGCTCAGAGAAACTGTCTCGTCTTCTGTACCTGCTGCTGTGACGGGCCTCACTCCACCAGACGGGCCTCACTCCCACCCAGGCAGGCCCCTCCTCCTGAACGGGCCCCTCACTCCACACCAGACAGGCCCCTCCTCCTGGGCAGGCCTCTCCACCAGACGGGCCCCTCCTCCACCAGACAGGCCCCTCACTCCACCAGACGGGCCCTCCTCCACCAGACAGGCCTCTCCTCCACCAGACAGGCCCTCACTCCACCAGACGGGGCCTCCTCCACCAGACAGGCCCCTCCACCAGACGGGCCCCTCCTCCACCAGACAGGCCCCTCCTCCACCAGACAGGCCTCATCACCACCAGACGGGCCCCTCCTCCTGACAGGCCTCTGCTCCACCGGGCAGGGCCCCTCCTCCTCCACCAGACGGGCCCCTCCTCCTCCAGACGGGCCCCTCCTCCTCCTTCTGACGTCCCCTCCTCCTCCTGCTGACGGGCCCCTCTTCCTTCCTCCCCCTCCTACAGTTCATCGTCCATTAACTAATCGTCATCATCAGTACTTCGTCACCATCACCACTACCTCGCCCTCGTCACCACCACAGCTGCCACCATCGTCACCACCACCATCAAAGCCACAATTACCACCATCACCACCATCACCTACTTCTACTGACCGCCCAACCTCCCCCCTCCCCTCCTTACTTCCCCCCTCCCTCCTCTACCCTCTTCCCCCTCCCTCCCTTCCTCCCTCTCACCACCATCATTACCTCCATCATTATCTCCATCACCGCCTCCGTTACCGTCGCACAGAGACACACATTCCCGTCACCACACCACCAATAGGCACCCAAGGCGCCTTCTTCAAGTAACTAGCGACCTGACGGGAACTTCTGTCTTTTACTGTCATGGACGGGCGGACGGAAGGCTGTGTGTGACCAAGGAAGTAACACACACACACACACACACACACACACACACACACACACACACACACACACACACACACACACACTATAGTTGATTTGGTTAGCTTATGTAGTGGGAAAGGTTAAGTTAGGTTAGGTCAGGTCAGGTCAGGTCAGGTCAGGTTAGGGGTAGGATAGGATAGGATAGGTTAGTTGGGGTTAGTTTAAGCTAGATTTGGGTTTAGTTAAATTTAGGTTAGGTTAGATGTAGGTTAAGTTAAGAAGATTATAAGAAATTGTCATTGTTATTGATGTTAAAGAATGCTATTATATGTTACCAAATGCTGCACAGGCTGTTTTTGTCACGAGTATCACAGCTGTCTCTCCCTGGCTGCTGTTATCCTGTGTGTGTGTGTGTGTGTGTGTGTGACTCGAATCCGGGTCACGCTGGGGCATGATTCATCGTGTTACTTTATACGTGTGTGTGTATGTATGTGTACGTGTGTGCATGTTTATATGTGTGTGTGTGTGTGTGTAAGGGTGAACCGGATATTCAGTGGGTCTTACTATAAACGCACCCTTCCTCCTCCTCCTCCTCCCCGCACCTAGGAGGAGGAGTACTTGTTTGTCTTGTCAGGGATTATACAAGATGTTTACTGAGGGACTTAACAGGTACAAGTCAATCACTCCTTTTGACCTACCCCACCCCTGACGTAACCTAACCTAACCTACCCCACCCCTGACGTAACCTAACCTAACCTACCCCACCCCTGACGTAACCTAACCTAACCTACCCCACCCCTGACGTAACCTAACCAATCCCTAACCTAACCTACCCCACCCCTGACGTAACCTAACCTAACCTACCCTGGCGTAACCTAACTACCCCTGGCAGCTTCTTCTTCACCCCCACCTGACGTAACCTAACCTACCCTGACGTAACCTAACCTGCCCACCCCAATAACCTAACCTAACCTACCCCTGACAACTAACCTAACCTGCCCCTGGCCGTAACCTGGCCTGCCCCACCTGACGTAACCTAACCTAACCTACCCCTGACGTAACCTAACCTAACCTACCCCTGACGTAACCTAACCTAACCTACCCCACCCCTGACGTAACCTAACCAATCCCTAACCTAATCTACCCCACCCCTGACGTAACCTAACCAATCCCTAACCAAAACAAACATGATTCGACCCGTTTTTAATTAGAAAATTCAAGGCTAGTTCCGGGTTAGGTAATTAACTTTGCCCCCACCCTCCTCCACTCCTTCCTTCTCCCTCCTCCTCCACTCCTTTCTTTCTCCCACCTCCTCTCCTTCTCTTCTCCCTCTCCTCCTCTCCCTTCTCTTCTCCCTCCTCCTCCACTCCTTCCCTTTTCCCTCCTCCTCCTCTTCTTTCTTTTTCCACCTCCTCTCCCTTCTCTTCTCCTCTCCTCCTCCTCTCCTTCTCTTCTCCTCCTCCTCTTCTTTCTCTTCTCCCTCCTCCTCCCTCTCCCTTCTCTTCTCCCTCCTCCTCATCTCCTTTCTCTTCTCCTTCCCCTCCTCTCCTTCTCTTCTCCTCCTTTCCTTCCTTCTCCCTCCTCTCCTCCTCTCCCTTCTCTTCTCCCTCCTCCTCCTCCTCTCCTTTTCTTCTCCTTCCTCCTCCTCTCCCTTTCTCTTCTCTCCTCCTCTCCTTCCTTCTCCCTCCTCCTCCTCTCCTTTCTCTTCTCCCTCCTCCTCCTCTCCCTTCTCTTCTTCCTCCGCCTCCTCTTCCTCCTTCCACCTACCTCCTTACTCCCTCTTCTTTCTAGCTCCTCCTACCCTCTTCCTCCTCCTCCCACCAACCAGGATATGAAACAGTCGACACTATTTTTTGCCCTCGTCACCACAACACCTTCAGGAGTCTGGTGCCCTTTGGTATCAGCGGGTCTTATACCTCCTGACGAAGGGTGTGACGCTCTCCAGTTAGTTCCTCCTGCTGACGGTGCTGTGTTAGGGCAGGCGAACGTGAAAGTGCCGAGTGTTTACCTAACGTTGTCTGAGAGAGAGAGAGAGAGAGAGACTGGAGTTGTGTTTTTGTTGTGTTTTACGAGTATATATATGTGTTTGTGTATGTGTTTATGTATAGATGTATGTCTGTATGTGTGTGTATGAGAGAGAAATTAGTATTCCAGTGTTGAGAGCGTCAAGGGGGCGTGACTTTGTTGACTAGACCAAGCTGCCTCATCAGGTTTCTGTGTGGAGAAATTTTTGTGGCATTGTTTTACGTTAGTCAAGAGAATGTGGGAGACAATGTTATTATAATTAGCATCACGTCAAGATTAGCCCCCCCACCCGCCTTAGATTATTTCACCTGATGATTACTTACCCTAACCTAAGCTAACCTAACCTAACTTCATCTAACCTAATGCTAACCTAAGCTAATCTGATCTGATCTAATCTACTGAATGAAGAGGAAGAATGAATGTGGAAGAGGGGGAGGAGGAGGAAGAATATGGAGGAGGAAGAGGAAGAGAGGCAGCAGCAGCAAGGGGCCGTAAAGCAGTCAGTCGCCGGGTTCAGTGTTCCAGACAGATGATGAGAGTTTCCCGTTAAGTAAACACACACACACACACACACATACATACACATACACACACACACACACACACAGACAGCTGACGTGGTCTACATTTCTCCCGTGAGACGATATATTACGGGAGTGTACGATGGAACTCACACCAGTGTTTACCAATCAGTTGTAGTGATCACTTGCGCGTCCTTTCTCCCTCCGAGCTGTACGTCCGTGACTTATGACTTACGTTCGTTAAGTCCGTATCTTTCGCTCGTCCTATACTACGTTTCTGACCGTATTTTGAGTCGTATCACGTATAATTTCTAGTTATTAATGGACTAGTGGTATAATTTGTCTACGCCCACTTAAAACAATTTTATTTCATTATTCAAGTGTATTAAAACTAACCAATAATAAAGTGCAAATAAAGTGGGAAAAATAGAGAAACTGTGATAAAGTGTGGAAGAGTGAAATAAAGAAGAGGGAGACAGATAAAGTGATAAATAAAGTGAAGATGGAGATAATGGGAATAGAACGATGGGACTCTTTTGTTGAGTTTCTGAATGACCTCAAGGATGAGTACTATTACAACCAGGTGAGTACACACACACACACACACACACACACCAGTTTATTTCACTTAAAGATCAAACACCCTTAACCCAACCCCACCCAATCTCGACCCCCACCCAAAAGCCCCCCCCCACCCAACCCCACCCCACCCAATCCCAGCCCCACCCCACCCAATCCCCCACCCCCCCACCAACCCCAACCCCACCCACCCAACCCCCAACCCACCCAACCCCCAACCCCACCCCTTCAACCCCACCCAATCCAGGCCCCACCCAATCGACCCCCCACCCAGTCCAGGCCCACCCAATCCCGACCCCCACCCAGCCCCCACCTTCTTCACCCAATCCCCAACCCAATCCCCAGCCCCCACCCAATCCTTCCCCACCCAACCCACCCAATCACGACCCCACCCCACCCCTACCCAATCCCAACCCCTACCCAATCCCAACCCCTACCCAATCCCAACCCCTACCCAATCCCAACCAATCCATATAGTATTAGGGTGTTTAATCTTCAGGTAAATAAGCTGGGGGGTTATAATCATAGCTACATTATTAGATAATATTGTTTTTATTTTGTAGGTGATGAAGCCATGATTAGGTCAGGTTTGTACTGCCATGGTGACAAAATGTACTCAAACTACTCTATGTCCTCAGTCTGCACTTACCGTAAGAGTCCGTGATAATTGTGTTGATTATGTTCCTTTACCACTGTGGAGCTCTCGTGTATTTGGTTCCCAATATTTACTTCCTCTCGACAGATTGATCGAGATGGCAACGGCTTCATCGACATGTCAGAGCTCAAATCTGCGCTGGAGATTGTGGGCTTCAAGCTTCCTCAGTGGCAAGTGCGTAAGATGATTGAAGACTGGGACAAGGACACCAACGGCCCAGGCAAAGGGAAGCTCAGTTTTGATGAGTTCCAGAATGTAAGTTTTGTCGTTGGTTTGTGAGTGAAAAAAAAAAAAAGGTATTGCTCGTAAAACTTTCTGAGATATTGCTAATGAAATATAAGGTTCAGAGGAAATACTTATTCCTTGTACGTTACACTGTATTTAGTTAGGTTAAGTTTGGTATTACTGTAAAATTCATTGGAGTATACGAAGAATGACGAGATAAATTTAGCATACCCGGCAGATTAAGTACAGTATATACCATAAATTGATATCTTTCTGCCAGTATCATTCATTGTCTGATCTAGAAAACTTTAATAATATTTTAAGTTAGGATTTGTTAATGAAGAATTAGTTATTGAGAAAAAAAAGATTGTTTATTAATTTGATTTATTTCTCAGATGTGTGCTGGTTTGAAGGCTCAGGATATTGCAAGTTCATTTAAAAAGATGGTTAACAAACGTGAGAACCTGGAGACCCTCGGGGGCATGTCGACGGCGTCCTCAGAGGGCACAACACACTCTGTACGCCTAGAGGAACAGCTCGCCTTCTCCGACTGGATTAATTCCAACCTTGGCCACGATCCACACCTGAAGCACCTGTTGCCCATTGACGGAGAGGGACGTTACCTCTATGATAAGGTCAAGGATGGCATTCTTCTCTGGTGAGTTCTGTCGTGTAAATAAATAAATAAATAAATAAATAGTAAAGGAGATTATGCTGTACTCCTGATGTTGTATTTGTCATCAGTGGGTGTAGTTTAGGTTAGGTTAACTCAGCTCTATGTTAAGGTACGATATTAAATTTAACAGGGGTTAGTTATGAGTGTTAAGGTCTAGTATCACTGCTCTTGTTAAAAATTGGGTCACTCTGACTACTTTTGGGGGGAATATTGATCACATAGAAATGTTCTTCTGTTCTGCACTAATTCATCAAGATGCCTTCCCCAAACTTCAAGGGTGTGATTCTAATTATAACCTAATCACCATTCTGAAAACCAGGTCATTGTGATTTAGGCCATAGGTGCTTGAATATTGTTTTCCAATGAGTTAACGTCTTTGTGCCGAATCACTTAATTATACGGTAATCAGTTCTCATCACCGCCACCATTTTACACGCTTGCATTGGTTGGCCGTAATTTCTCGATAATATCTCTACATACTGCACGGTCTCTTGTAGTCTCTCGCAGGTTATTATCTCTTAAAACATCTCCCCCTATCTCTCCTTTCCTCTATATTTAAATTCATTAATCTTTTCTCCCATTTGTACCTACTTTCTCTCTCCTTGGCCAACCATCTCAAACCTACCAGTGTACAAAAACCTCACTAGCCCTGGGTCTCTATCTTTCAAAACTCTGGGTCTTTATCTCTCAAAACTCTGGGTCTTTATGTCTCAGGGTCACAATGCAATACACATCCATCTTATCATTATCTCAAGACACTAAAGCTTGTGCATATTACCTATTCAACTGCCTACGTTCCTCTGCTATACAACATCTTACATCTTGCCTTTCACACAAGACCAGAAGATGGAACTAACAAGGAGTGTACATATTAGACAAATCTGTATATCATTAAATAATTCTTGAGGAAGGACTGTCTGATTATGGGTGAGGTTTGTCTTTTGTGAAGCAACGTGAGAAACCAGATTAAAAGCCTAGTGAAAGGGAAGCACCGTAGCAGAACACAATAATTACAGAAAAGGAACAAAGGAATAATGGAAGAGGGGGACATGGTCTAAGATTAGTATTATTTATGCAGTGATGTTGATGACTATATCCTCTTGTTTTCCTAAGTATAGTTTATCTTTTATTCTCTGTAATGGAAATACTAATTGATGTTTTCTTTCCTTCCAGTAAAGTCATCAATCACTCTTGCCCAGACACCATTGACGAGAGAGCCATCAACACCCGCAACTTGACCCTTTACACGAAACACGAGAACCTGACACTGGCTCTCAGCTCTGCTCAAGCTATTGGTTGCAATGTTGTCAATATTGATGCTCATGACTTGGCTAAAGGTGAGGAATATTGATCTTTTTGTTGGTAGTTGATGGAGGAAGATTGTGTAAAGGATTTTTTTTTTAATAGATTAGAAAGAATATGAAATGTTTTACCTTTAGTGCTTTGAGGAAGGAAGACATTTAAATATATGTATGTACCAGCATGTATGTATTGGCATAACAGGTAATTCAGAATAAATACTTTAACTAAAATGTTCTCCTTATAAGTTACAGTACTCTAATAATATCTTTGCTTGGACAGGTAAACCCCATCTTGTGCTGGGTTTACTGTGGCAGATCATCCGCATTGGTCTGTTCAACCAGATCACCCTGGAGCACTGCCCAGGTCTGGCCAACCTTCTGGAGGACGGTGAAAAGATTGAGGAGTTGATGAAGCTTTCTCCCGAGGCCATTCTGCTTCGGTGGGTCAATCATCATCTGGAGCGTGCTGGCGTCAACAGGTTTGTGGCTCATAATTTGACGTTTGTAATGGGATAAATTTTGATCCATTTGACATTTTTATTTTCTTTCTCCCTTTCTTTTTTCATACATATTTTTAATTCTCTTCTTTCTTCTTCATCCTAAAATTCATATCAATAATTCCCCCCCCCCCCACAGACGCTGCACAAACTTCATGAGCGACATCAAGGACTCCGAAATCTACTCTCACCTCCTGAAGCAGATCTCACCCAACGATGCTGGCGTGACGCTGGAGGCTCTGTCTGTAAGTTGGTCTAGTGTGTGTCTCCGTTTAGCTCATCTGTTGTGGGGTTTGGGTGGGATTTAATCGGGAATCTATGAGGCCAAAGTTCGGTGGGATTTAAGCGGGAAATTATGAAATGGTTGAAACTTAATACTGTACAATATGAAAAATGTTTAGTATGTGTCTCGGCTTAGCTCATTAGTTGTGGGTTTAGGTGGGATTTAATCTGGAATCTGTGAGGCCAAACTTAGGTGGGTGTTAAGAGGGAACAGATAATAGGGTTAAATATCAATACAAAATGGAAAACTTTTATGAGGGATTGGAATTTTGTTCAGCTGAAAGATGTATCTTTTGTGAGTAGTCTTTATAACTTACTGTGTGTGATTTATTTTGTGGGATTTGTGGTTGTAGACGTCTCAGAAAAGAGAACATTGAAGTGAATAATAAGTTCATTATTCCTGGTTTGTGCTGTGGTGAAAATGTTCTAGGCATTCATAGTTCAATCAAAAGCTAACCTAATTAACTTAACCTAACCTGACTCATCCAAACCTAATCTTTTATTCCAAGAAATAATCTCAGCATGCCACACTTGCCCTTGTCAGCCACAGGAGTATTGTAGAACACAGTCGATGAAATTGTGAAGAGACTACTGCACTTTACATCCAAATGGAATGTTACTTATGATGTGTTTTAAATCTTTCAGGAGCAAGACTTGGTGGACAGAGCAGAGATCATGTTACAGCAGGCAGAGAAGTTGGGTTGTCGCAGCTTCCTCACCCCTCAGGACGTGGTGGAGGGAGTGTACAAGCTTAACGTGGCCTTTGTTGCCAATCTCTTCAACAACCACCCTGGCCTGGATAAACCTGAGAACATTGACTTTGAAGGACTTGACCACATTGAGGAGACGAGGGAGGAGAAAAGTGGGTATAATTATATATGTAAACTAAATATTCTCCCAGCACCACTATCTCCATATATCAGATTTGCTACATGATAATAACACAAGTTCATTGAGATTTATATTGGGGGAACCATCACACTCTCAGGAACTAAATTTATTTGTAGTAAAAAGGATTTCTCTTAGACTAACTTCCATTGCTTCTCCAACTCCTAGGCATATACTATTTAATACTATTCATCATTTTTATATTGATATCCTATTTTACCATCCTATTTCTTTGTATTTATGTATTTTAGTGTAATAATGTGTGTAGTATATCAGTTAATATACGTAAATTAGTCATCTTATGAAAATTGTTTGAGGAACGTAAGAAATAAGCAAATTCCGTCTTGTTACAGCTTACCGCAACTGGATGAACAGTATGGGCGTCAACCCACACGTTAACTGGCTGTACTCTGACCTTGCTGACGGTATCATCATCTTCCAGCTATATGACATTATCAGACCAGGTGTTGTTGACTGGAAACGCGTCCACAGGTAAATTGTTGTAGGGTTTTGTTTTCATGAGACATTTAATTCCTCTTATTTACCAGACAGTCAACTCCTCTTTCAATTGATGTCACTAAACTGGAAACTAATTCATACTGTGCCACTTGGTTCCTTTAGACTCAACCCACAAAAATAAGGAAAACAAAAACACCCAAACTTTACAGATGATAGCAAACAAAGGGAGAGTCCATTGATCACCGTACACGAGTGTCACACCGGGAAACCAAGCATCTAATTCTTTATGTCTATTTTTAAAGACTGTGTAGTGTAGTAGTGTGTACAGTTTATCCTATTTACCATAGTGAGTACAGGTGATTGTGGTCTGAGAACAAGATCAATGTGACTTTATAAACTGGTGTGACTCTGACTTGGAGATATACAGTGTCATCCCACATAGACGTTTCCCAGCTAGTTGGAGATTGTCTAATTTTTGTTTTTTTGCTGTTTTTACCATCCCACTTGAGCAGTTAGGTTAGGTTAAATATTCCATCATCTATTTTGGAATTGGTTGACATCTGATTCCCTAGTGTGAGGCTACAAGAAGTTGTTTGGTGTATTTTAACATATGTTACTGCCCAGCTGGTATACTTAATGACCTATATTATTGTTCCTCTGTGTATAGTACAGGTATATTGAATAATTCTTTTCTTCCCAACAGTAAATTCAGCAAGCTTAAGAAGTTCATGGAGAAGCTTGAAAACTGTAATTATGCTGTTGAGCTTGGCAAACAGCTGAAGTTCAGTCTTGTTGGTATCGCTGGACAAGATTTGGCTGATGGTAACCCAACTCTTACTTTAGGTGAGTAACTCATTTCTTTCCAGTGTAATAACTCGATGAATTACTTGATTTGGCAAGTGAGAGGAAAATGAACAGGACAGGATATGTTAGGTTAGGTTAGAAATATAAATGATTCAGTAACTACAGGAGTGTGTGTGGATTGTGTAAAAACCTCCATATAACGGACGTCTCTCTCCTTATAATTCGTTAGATGGGGAGCTTCATATCTATTGAGCCCTCGATATAACGAACTTTCCTCCCCATATAGTCTGTTAAATGGAGGTTTTACAGAACTGTAAAGTTGTTGTATGTTTGGGAAGAAGTCTCTTAAGTCCTGATTGAAGATCAAAATTTGATCACATCAAGTGTGTTAACATTTTGTAACTGTTTTTACTCTTAATTTCAGCCCTGATCTGGCAGTTGATGAGAGCGTACACTTTGTCCATCTTGACCCAGCTGGCTGATTCTGGCAGCCCCATTGTGGAGGCAGAGATCATCACTTGGGTCAACACCAAACTAAGTGAAGCTGGTAAAAAGTCCAGCATCAGGTCCTTCCAGGACTCTAGTCTTAAAAATGCCCTTGCTGTTATTGACCTTGTTGATGCCATCAAGCCTGGCACCGTCAATTATGATGTTATGAAGATAACAGGAGAAGAGGAGGTAAGTTATAAAGGACTGGTGCTCTTAAGATCTATTGGTGACCTGCAGGAAAACCTGTCCACCAAACACTGTACCCTGTGCCCATCAGAAAAGGTACCTAGTTAATGGCAGGTCCAACCAGGTGAATAATGCTTTATTATTAGGTGCATTTCTCTCCCAGTTGAGTGAGGCAGGGTTCACTGGAGTCTGTGTCAACTACTGCAGGGGTTGATGCTAATTAGTGAAGTTATGTTTACTAAGTCAACTACATTTACCTGGATTCATTATCTCAATGAAGTGTCAGACCTTACTTCTGTGATAGAGTAGAGGTGATACTCCATGATCACCAACCTGCTGTACTTCAGATAAAACCCTGGAATTGCTAGAGGATAAGTGTTAAGGTGGTGTGTTTTTAGCCTTGAGAGTTGTGAGCTGTTCAGTAACCAGAGTACAAGTTATGTTTGGTTACCATGTGTAGGTTTTTATTATTAGTGAGTCTTTCTCTCAAATATATATATATACACCTTAAAGCCAGTGTCCAGCTCTGAAAAATATATTGAATAGAAAATTTATGTGGACGAAACCACGTGCTTTAGAAACCAGATATTAATTGATTCTTTATTCATTTTTCAGGATAATGTGGCCAATGCTAAGTATGCAATTTCAATGGCACGCAAGATTGGTGCACGCATCTACGCCTTGCCCGAAGACATCACGGAAGTCAAACCCAAGATGATTATGACAGTGTTTGCTTGTCTTATGGCACGAGACTACATACCTAATATGGATACCAAAAAGAACTAAAAATAAGTGAACAAAGAATAGAATGTTTGATGTATATGTTGTGTGAATGTTTCTTGATAATGTATAGACTTTTTATAAAATTTTTCATCAAGCTTTGCTATAGCAGTGTTTCATGGCTTTTGATGTGGAGAACTTAGCTTAGGGCCCATATTCAGGACACATGCCTAAATGAAGCAATGTACACTGTGTTCTGCTGTGCCAACTATTTGCTCCTACAATAATAACCTTTGCTTTTTGTCTACTTAATGCAAAAATTATGCTCATAAAAGAGTACTATAATTGCATGATAACTGAATATAGAGAACTGCTGGCATATGTTCTTGGCACTAGTGAGGGAAACATTGTCTCCTGAGTATTGCTTGATGTAAGCACTCTGAATATGGGTATACGATGCCATTTTTCAAAAAAATTTTGGACATTTATAAAACTGACATTATTTCCAAAGTTGCTAGAATAATCGATGATAAAATTTAGAGTTAATAAATGTATTGGTAATAAAGTTTAAGGAATTTTGGTACACAGTTGATTACAAGGTTTATTATTAATGGTTCTGTTAAATGATTAAGACAACAGTATTGGAAACACTTGCTGAAATTTATTAATCCACTGATTCGTCTCCATCACTATTAAGCTGCGACTTGAACTGAAAATTTACAGTTCCAACGGACCGCTTATGTGTAGTGTTTAATCATGTCTGTCGTAGAACAAACACACTGCCAAACTGCCTGTATTAATAATGGCTTTGCCAGATCAATGAACATCGTTTTTATTTAATTATTTAATATTTGTAGTTATTCAGCACACATAAGCCTGAAACTAACGATCATATACTGTATAATTTAGATACTGTAGTTTCTGTCAGTTTCAATGTGGTTATTTATTTGCAGTGGTCATAAATGGCCAAAATTAGTTGTTATTTAGGTTGAACACAACAGTGATGCTTTTCTAATAAACCTAATTATTACAAAGCCAAAATCAAAGCCCAGCCTCAGAGTAACAGTAGACCTTTGTACGTGAGTCATGTAGCAATGCAGGTTTTTATATATTATACATATACAGTACATATATATTTCAGAAAAAATTTTCTGAGATCTTTTTGTAAATAAGCCATTATTTGCTAGTTTAACAAGCCTTTGGACTAAAGGCTGTACACCTGAATGCTTTAGAATTCTTTCCAGTACCTAGAGTTGCACATGGGGAGGTGTCCATAATGTATAATGGTGCCCTTAGTCAGACCAGAATTGCTTTTTGTCTTTAGTATGTTGTGTAGTCATTACAGTACGGTACATAATTTGTTTTCTTGTGATGGAGTTGTGGTGTATATACTCCACTGGCATCATGCAGAAAGTCAGGCATACGTCAAGCATAATCAAATCTCATATGAAAGGAATAATTGGGATTTAGAAAAAATGTAAATATATTTTTCAAATTCATATTTTATCACCAATAAGACAAAATATTAGAATAAAGCCGCTTTGGATGTTAGAGGAAGTATGAATTAAAACTTCAGGAGAAAATCATATAGTTATTTTAGGGGTTAAGATAAGAGCTGTACTTGTGGAGGACTTGATATCTATTATCTGTGTCTGTTGTATTTTTATGATTGTTTTCTGCATATCATTAGCTATATGCACTGTGTGAGGTGTAACAAGAGTTGCTCCGTCATTTGTATATTATTTATACACTACGAACTGTATTAAAGATTTTAAATATTGCCCAGAGATAGATGCTGTATGGAGAGTACAGTACAGTAGATGCTGTATGGAGGGTACACTACAGTACAGTACTGTATTCCTCTTGTTATGATGATGGTGTGTCTGGGTTGATGTGATTACAGTCTTGTTTGAAATTTGCATTCAACGTCCTGAAAAACTTTACTATTTGTGGTAAAAAAAATAATCTATATTTTATAAATAAAATCAATGATATCTTTGTGAGGTGTAATCAGTTCTCAAGGATTTATAATGCATTTTGGAGGCTGGTCAAAATAGTCATATACATTTTGTTGTGCCTCTAAAAAGCTAATATTTGAGATATTGAGACAACTTGGTTTAAGGATTTATCGGTGATTAAGGATGATGTGCAAGTCAAGCTCTGTAATGAAATAGAATTTTATTATTATTTCTAGGATTCTTTTTGTTGAATATCAATACAGATTCAGTTAGTCATATTTTGTGGGGAATGTTATCTCTGACATTAGCAATGGATAGACTTCAAAATATGCTAAAGATGATGTTGTTTTTAATTGTTAATTTGAGGGACCAATGTGTGAAGAAATGATTTATTTTATTTGAGAAATTTGAAAGGATTTTTTTTTTTTTTAATTGTGTGATGTTTATTTGTTATGACACTTGTATGGTAGGATAGTCACTGGTACTGTATTGTGGAGTTTAGATTCACCAATGGTAACAATGAGTTTACTCAGAACAAGATCAGTAAGTTGTTGTGTGTGGATGTACAGTATAGAGAGATGTGGATTGATCTTAATGTTTTTTTATCCCTTATTTCTTATGGTTTATATATCATTGCGTGTGCTGTACTATGTATATGCATTATTTATGTTGACCATCTCATAAGATGTGAAAACAAACAGCTCCCAAGGTCTTGTCTTTATTCTCAGATCTCTTCAAGTCCTCTCTGGCGGCCTTACAATAAATATAAACAAATTTGGAAGCGCTGTTTTCATTTTCCTGGGAGATGTGAACATATAATTACCACAGCACCATTGTGGGTTTTGATTATACTGTATTGTCATATATATATATATATATATATTCCACAGACTTACAAGCATGCATAATTAGGCATAGACTATCACTACTGTATATTTAATTTCCTGTCATAAATATCCAGGTATCTCCTTTATGTTGGAGTGTATATGACGTGTGCCACAGTATTGACTCACTGGAACTTGATATATAATTTTCTTTTCCGTTTCCTCAAAATATTCCTCAAGTACTGTGTTATGAGGGCGACCTATGCTAAACTTTGTGGAGACTACTGCTCTGTGTTTATATAGTAGGACTCTTGTAATACTGAACCAGGAAGCAACTCCCTTCAGCCTCAATTTGTATTCTTGTGTTAGAGAATTAAGTCTAACTATTTATTGGGTCCAAACATATGAAAATTACATTCCAAAGACTTAAGCCTGAGTGACTGTTTCCTTATGGCATTACCATTTACCTAGCTTGTGTTAATCACTATTTATGCTCCCATCATTCTATAGTCACCATCACTGGTTAGGCACAAAGTGTTTGTACATGTTATCATGAATTCATTTAGTACAGTAATGTTTTTTGTCCATTAACTAGTACTGTACATTAATATCTCAATAAATGCTAGATCATGGGAAGACAAAAATTTAAGTGAAAATTTTTGGTCAAGTTGATTTTTTATTTTAATTTCTGTTATTTACTTTTGGGAGATTTTGAAATTAAGATTTATAATTTGTTATAAACTTAGTTTGGATCCTCAGAGTTCAAACATAGTGAAGAGATGTTTGCTAAAGTGACACCAGTTTTAGTTAGAGTTTGAGGTACCTGTAGAAGCATCCTCTCATTCTCATTAAAAGGATCAAGAAATCAGGTTGATGAGTCATGCCTGATCTAAGAAATGGTCGCTTTAAAGTTAATGACGGTGCTGAATAATTATTATTATTTCCCAGACAGTTTTTAAAGCATAATCAGTCTTATATTCTTACAGTGTGGCCGATTGTTTTTAATTTTCGAAGTTATATTTTACTTTCCTTGTGTTGTGAGCTTTGGTGTTAAGTGACACCTATGGATGATCTACATATGGCTTTACATGCACATCAGCACGTTCCTTTAACTATTCCCTAAGGCACAACTGCACATTAACTGAAGATTGGAGATTTTTTGCTTGTATATTTGGGAGTTTAGAGAAAGGCAGGAAGCATCTCACCTCAAAAATTGGGATCGTATCTGTACTCTTTAACACAAACCAAAACGAGTATACTGCACCTTGAGTATTGATGCCAGAGATTTGGTTTGTGGTAAAGAATGGTAAAAAGTTGATGACTAGAATATATGAAAAAGATAATTTGGCTGTTAGTACATATATATAGCCTGCTCCTGTGCTCATGCAAGTTGAATCATGGGAAAAGTCATTTATTAATTTTTATTTGTTAAGTGGTTCTGTATTCGACATTCTTCTGGGTTTTATGTATGTGATATTGTTGCTCCAAGAAGGGGCATGTTATTTGGAGAAAAAATAAAATAAAATAAAAATCATGGCATTTACTGAAATAGTCAGATGGTAAAACAGTTTGCAAATGACAATGTTGGAAATGTTTGTGCTTAAGAAATATTAGAGTTACCAGTTGGAGACTTTTGTTATGAGTAGCAGTCTTTGTCATTAGTTGCCTGCAAGTATTTACAATATTAACTGCCACTGCAAACTATTTCAATATACCAGCAGGTTAAATTTAATTTATGTATTTTTTAAATTTCAGTTTTATATAAGGAAACAAAACTAATACTGTTATTAGGGTTGGTTGTCACGCCACACAACAGTGCTTCCTGTACTATGATTGCTCCTTGCTGTTCTGTACAAAGAATTTATGGTTATTTAAACCCAAATAGTTCATAAATAATAAGATTATTATTGAGTGTTTCATTTACTGACTTGTATTTTATCCCTTTATTATACTATACTGTACAGTATTTGTAGTACTGTTCTTCATTATTTCTATTCTGTTAGCAACACATGGAGTATCAAAACACCTATGTACTGTACAGGCGTAGAAGGTGGGGTCCATTTTACCACACTTTGTCGGGTCCATTTCATCATGTGCTGTATCGTCATTCTTCATAAGCTGTGAGTGTTAATGTGTTTGTCTACTGCACGGTAGAAGGCTGGCAGCTGAGGGAACACACATCAACCTGCGGCACAGTGGTGGTAAAGCAGTTCACCAGTTTAGAAGGTAGTAGGTAGTAGGCAGCTACCAAACAGGGAGGTACTACCGCCTGGGAAGATATTGGAAGCATCATGTGTTGTCAAATGGTAGACCCTGCTGCCATATGGCATCACAAAAATTCATTTTTATTTTTTTTAAACTAAAACCAAGAAATTTTTGGGCTAAGAACGAAAAAAACGAGAAAAAGCTAAAAACGAAAAAAAAGCTAAAAACGGAAAAAGCTAAAAACGAAAAAAGCTAAAAGCTAAAAAAAGCTAAAAAGCTAAAAAATGAAATAAGCTGAAACGCAAAGAAAAGGCAAAAAAATATTTTAATGTTTATAGCCTTTTTCCTTTTGAATTTTAGCTTTTCATTTTTAGGTCTTTTTTAGCCAAAAAATCTCTAAGTTTTTTTATAGTTTAAAAAATAAAACATTTGGCTAAGAATGAAAAAAGCTAAAAACGGAAAAAGCTAAAAACGAAAAAGCTAAAAAATGAAATAAGCTAAAATGCAAAAAGGAAAAAAAAGGCTATTAACATTAAAATATTTTTTGCCCTTTCTTTGCGTTTCAGCTTATTTCATTTTTTAGCTTTTTAGCTTTTTTTAGCTTTTAGCTTTTTTGGTTTTTAGCTTTTTTGGTTTTTAGCTTTTTCCATTTTTAGCTTTTTTTCATTTTTTTCGTTCTTAGCCAAAAAAATTTCAATTCTATTTTTTTTCACTAAAAACTTAGAAATTTTTTGGCCAAGAACGAAAAAAACTTATCAATTGGACGCCTTTGTGTGTCTTTCCTATGGTAGTGCCACCTATGAAAAAATAAACAATAAATTTCCTCTGGTGCACGACATATGAGAGACCTTGGTGGACCTCCTCTCGAAATTGTGATTTTGGTGATGTAGAGGATTTCTCCCCTACAAACGCGGTTTGTCGCTGAGTAGCCGACCCCGCGAATTCCCCAGTGTATGCCTCGTGGTCTGGGTCAACCAGCGCCGCCATACATCACGGAGGTCAACTACTAAGCCACGCCTACCTCCGCTATTTAAGACCTGACCTCGTGGTGATCTCTCTCTTCTTCTAGCTACAGCCGCAGCAAGCAACACCACCGCCTCCGCCACTGCCTGGCGGCCCTCGCTCCCGCCGGCGAGCATGGCAACCCACAAGCTGGTCCTCCTCTGAGCACCCTCACCAACCAGCTCTCTCTACATCACGCTTGTAACCACGCTGCCAATTCCCAGCACCAAGCTGCACTGTACATCCAATACAATATGTATACAGAGAGCACATTGTGAGTTTCCTTTCTCCATCCCATCCCGAGTGTGAACCCAAACATCCCATAACCCCACAATGGTAAAAAAAAATGCAGTAATGCAGGTTTGATATTATTATAATCAAGCAAATTTAATCAAGCAATTTTAATCGATTATAATCAGAATGAAAAATCATTGATTACTAGACAAGTCAACATACTGCATTAACTCAAGTGGCGGATCCAGGAATACCAAAGGGGGGGGGAGGGGTGGTCCAAGAAGTTGAGGGTGGAGGACCATGGCGAGCGCACTTGATATTAGGAGATATTCTGAGGTCAATAGTACGCTGTAGTTAATTTTTACTATACAAAAATGCCTGAGTGGAAAACTGCTTTAAAGAAAAGGTATTAGAATTTTTTATGAAAAAGGGGGGGTCCAGACCCCAGGAACCCCCCCTGCTGTTATGACCAGCAACTCCTCATCTGTACCTGTATTCTGTGATTACTTATATAACTAGTTTAGAGAATGAACTCTGCTGTAGTGTTATATATTCCTTTATTATCCTATTTAACATTAAAGCAAAATTATAAAACCTTACACAGTATTTACAAATATGGCAACTGACCAACAGTAACGTCATGTACAGTACAGTATATAAAAGATCAGTTTTACTGCCATACACGAACAGAAAGGCATGTAGTCTATGCTTAGATATTTAACTATATAGCTTCATCTCTAGATGTTTAAAAACACTAGACTTTTCCTAGAATATATATATATATATATATATATATATATATATATATATATATATATATATATATATATATATATATATATATATATATATATATATATATATATATATATATGTTGACAACCCTTTATCAGAAATTCCAAAAACCGAAAGTTTTTTGTGGAGCTTTTTTTCCTTCTTTTTGAAACAGGGATTAGCTCACCCAGGCATAGATCACTGACCCACATCGGGGCCTGGGGGGCAAAAATGTAATACCTGTAGTAATACTAATTATAATAATAATAATTCATAGTAAATAAAAATATTAATAAAAAATACACCAAAATAAAATAATAAAAAAAACAATAATAATAATTAGAAAATATAATAATAAAATTAATAATAATAATAATAATAACAATAATACTGTATTAATAAAATAATAATAATAAAGAAATACAAGAATGAAAAAAGATAAAAAGTGAGAAACACGACCTAGACCTATGAATTATTATTATTATATTTTCGCCTGCCAGGCCCCAATGTGGGTCAGTGACTTGTGCCTGGGTGGGCTAATACACATAAAAAAAAAAAACCATTCTGAAAACCAAAAAATTCCGAAATCCTTAATGCCTCTGGCCCCAAGGATTTCGGATAAAGGATTGTCAACTTGTATATACCAATATACATCACTAGTTCTAAAATACTTTATTTTCTACATTTTGCAAGTTATCCCCAAAATAATTCAGTACCGAATTTTTCCAAATTTTAGTGTCAAGCCAAGTTCAAAAACACATTTGTCTGGGTTTTCCTATAATCTCCTAAAATTTAGTAAAAGCAATAAATGCATTACCCTGTGTGAGGTTAAGCTGCTCCCTAAACGAACGTGTCTAAAATTCACTAATGTGTCCTCGTACCTGGAGGTGATAACTTAACCAGTTTTAGTTTCATCAAAATACTCCATTAATCACCTGAACATGAGATAACAGTATTAACTCCTCGACCATTTAAAAGACCCATACAGTATAGTATCTCCTAAATGCAGACTTTGAATATTTTTCTTTATTGCATTTAATAGTCATAAATACAATATTGCTCAGAAATATGATCTAATTATTTTTTTTAGGTATGATACTACTTCAGAGTCTGGTGATTTGTTTTAGTTTCCACCATCCATACTATACTGTAATAAGGATATTAATTCATGTATTCACACCCATTGTTTATGCTCAACATTGCTATTACTTCACTTACTTGCCTATAAAGTTAATCTCATACCCTGTATGTTATGAATGGCTCTTCACATAACTTTATGCTCAATACTGTATTCATATACCTACACTGATCATTTGTTTCCACCCCAAACCATCTCATCACAGCTCCAATATAGGGAAGACTTATGTCCAGAGTTTTAATCAACATCATCTGTTGACGGGGATCATGGTGTTGACAACCATAGTTTTAAAGGTGAAGAACCCCGCACTGCAGCACACGACGGAGAGGAACCGCTGAAAAAGTAACCAATAATATTCATAACCTTCTTCATAACTGTTTTGTTTGTTTTATTGGATATTTATAGTAAACACAATTAATGAAAAAAAAAAACATGATGGTAATTTTATACTTTTTTTTACATTAATGTTTTTACGACTAACACCCATACCCGTACTGTAGAATGAAATTTAAAAGTTTTACTGCTAAATACAAGCTCGTTCAGCTGCTGGACAGGCTTACCAGCCAAACCCTCGACAGTCCCATACAGAGGAGATGAGGTTTGACCGATTAAAACTACCACTTGAAGGAAAGACTCCTTCTTGCGGGTTCTTTGTGGAAGAGATGAGGGCGATTAAAACTCTGGGCGAAAGTATTTTCCTTGTCTTTCTATTTTTCTTCTTGTAAACAATATTAATAATCAGTCAGCAGTGTTTCAGTTCTGGCCCAGTGAACCCACACCCCATTTTTAGGTATTTGGTGAGGTCAAAAGTTAAACACCCCAAAACATACATTCTGAACAACTGTTCAGTCAAATTTATGCCAATTATGATGAAAATGTTGCATAAATAAACCCTGTAATATGGCCAAAACAGTTACTGTATTGTATATCCTTTTTGAAGGGGTGTAAAGTTACCTGAATGCAAAACTTGGGATTTTTGCTGATTATATTCCCAAGCAAATAGTGTTGGGGTGAATGAGGGAGACGTGTTGCACCCACTTGTTGGCCTCTTTAATTGGCACTGTATCTGTTCACACAATAACAACACCAGTATGACCCAGTCTCACTCTTAATTCATTACAAAATACCAAACTGACATAAATAACACAAGTGTGAGGGAAGGTATCACTAAGTAGATGGCTCTACATTAACAAAATCTCTTATCTAGGTTGAGTGAACAACTATAATATAACATAAAAAATTTGCTTACAAAATAAGAAAAATAATCTGACAAATAACTTTTTTTTATACATAACCATACTTGAGGTTACATTACTTATACTTCAGGGGGATTTCATAATTCATAGAAAGATCATGAACCCTCTTCTCCTGTAAGGCAAATTGGCATCTGTCTTCACTAGAAAGTGTAGAGATTTCCTTTAATTTTACAATACATCACTTCACTTTCAGCTTATACATTAATAAACATAATTCATGACAATACTTTACACAAGAAGAAATCTCATAACTTGGCCAACATACACACTTATACACAAGACCCAGCACACTGGTGATTAGTCAACAGGCAAGCCCCAGTGTCTTCATTAGGACAGGCACCCATTTGTAAAGAGTCCCAGTCTTCACGGGCTTAATTAGTACTCCAGCGCACTAATTCTCAGATAATATCTCCAGACATTATGATTAATTAATACCTAACAAGAGCCAAGTTTATAATTTAGATCCAATAGTCATAACCACAACCATCTAGGTATCTGTAATACCATAGGAGGGAGGCAGTCAGTCCATGTAACCAGATCTCATGAAGTACACCATGACTTCAACCTTACAGTATACAATAACTGAACTCAAAATAACTCTTAGGTGATACTTATCTATTTAGTTAATCTCAAAGTCTGAGCTCCCTACTAATAAATGTCCTTATGTTTCTAAACAATTATCCTTTCAGCTTTTACAAGGTTATCATTGCCTGTCACAACTTAACTCCGCATACATTACCCAGTCCAATGATACTAAATTAATCCGGACTCCCTAATATTAGTCATATTTACACTTACTTTAAGAAAATATGTTATCACAGAGTTTGGTTTTCACAAGCTACATTGTGTTGATTTTTTTAAATTGCAATACTGTATCACTTCCATTACAAATTATTACGGGAAGAAATACAGTAATGTTATTCGATCTTTTTCCCACAAATTTACTAACAACAGCAACTATTATTTTACAAGGCTTAGCTGGGTTGCTTGTTAGCATTCTCATCAGCTTTTCCACCTGGCTCCGAGGTTAACAAATTGCTCAGGTATTTGTTCGTCGACACTGGTGTTGGGAAGCCTGATGTCGTCATAACTGTGCTGGGAGTAACGGAAGTTGGTGCAATTAGCGGCGATGGTGACGTGGGTTCCAGTGGGGTTATGGTGGGTAGTGTTGGTGGGGTGGAAGCTGCAGCTAAGAGTGGTGAGGAATTTCTTGATCCCGATTCATTGGCTGATGCTGATGCTTCTCCAATGCTGATAAACGGGTTCATCTGAAAATTAGAGATAAAATATTAAATACTGTAAGTATAAATTTGAGGACCAAGGCCAAATTGCACCAATATGCCATTACTTCTCATTCAGTTCTTAAAAAGAGAGAGAGAAAGATGAGAGGGGGGGGGGGGAGGAGGAGGTTTAGAAATTGTCTGATACCTGGCCAAAAATGACATACGTATAGTTTATCAATTACAGTACCATTCACTGATTCTCTAAGTCACACAATATCAGCGATGTATTTTAATTGGGATGTATGACAATATTCCCACCTTATTAGCAGCCTGAGCCTTGGCCTGGGCTTTCTTTTCTGCTTTCTCTGTTGTTTGCTGGGCCATCAGTACTGCTGGGAGGCGAGCCTGTGGCCGAGGGTTGGATTCATCCTCGAGGAACCTGATGAATGCTTGTGACAGGGACTGTTGAACGATGGACTGAGTCAATAACACATTGAGAGGTTACAGGGTATAATATTAATACAGTGAACCTTCACTTTACACGGTTAATTCAACCCACAGGGTACCGCGGAAAGTGAGAAACGCGTAAAGTGAACAACATAACATATGGGATTAATTGAAATAGAGACCGGGCCGACCCCCAAACTCCACTTTTTCAGACACAATACCTACGTTGTAGTAAAAATAACTTCTTAACTTTATGATGGTATGCACTCACAATTAATAATTAAGAGAAATATCAATAATATTAGGTTTTTTAACACTTACATTAGTAGAAAAGATGGCTGGGCACACAGGGATGGGTGCTTGGTTCCGAGGTAGAGGGCAGATTATTGGCCCTCACCTGTATCACTTGTATCACTATCCACCACAGAGGCTTGCAGGGCCTCTTTGTCAAACCCCTCAAAGTCCATATAAGTCCATATCCTCACTATAATTATCACTATCACTGACTTGTGCCGGCTGTGGTGGGTGGCGGGTGAAGAACTCGGTAATGTTTTGATGACTGGGCAACCTTGTGCGCACCCTGCTCGCGCCGCTTACACAACATGGCGGATGGCGGGAGAGGGCGGGAGAGATGGCGGGAGGTTTGGATCCAAAAATGGCGCGGCTCGCCAGCCGCTCTCCGCGTAAAGAGGTACACGCACTGCGGAATGCGAGCATTCCGGTTTCGGCAGGGTACCGCGTAAACGTGGAAACGGAATGTGGGACCGCGTAAAGTGAGGGTTGACTGTATTTATTTTATTTTTAATCATATAAGAAAATCTTTTTCTGTGTGATGGTACATACAAAACAAACCTTGTACAGATGGTTACTGTAGACAATATATACCATTATCCAATAATAGTCTGTCAGTTTTGTCTTTATCAACTTTTTATATCTTACCGTATGGTCGAGAACGTCCACTTTTGAGGTAACACGGACATTACTAGCCGGCGGAGCGAGGAAATTAGCTATTGACGTCAGCCATGATGTGCCCTGCATGTCCAGACCTGTCCTGGCGCGCTCCTCCCCAGAAAAGTTTAAAACCTCTGCAATGATTCTCAATACTTCTTGACGTTTGTCCGCTGGAGTGGCAAAGTATCCCACCAGTAGGTTACGTAGAAGGGGCCTGTTGATATCCACTTTACATTAATATACTTACAAATAAACCTCTATTTAACATACTATACGGAGAGAAAAGTCAATTATATCGAGGGTCTGTTAGATGTGTAATCCCTTCAAAAGGATCAACATTAATTGTTTTGGGTGTATTACAGGGTTTATTTATGCAACACTTTCATAATCAAATATACAACCAACTGGCCACTATGAAGTTCACCAATCTGAAGGTTGTGATAAAATTAAGTTTTAAAGTTAACATTGATTGTTAAATTTAATATGTACTTGTGTGTTTATGGTGGATTTAGATGAATTAAATCAAATACTCTTAAACACTATACTGTACAGTATTGTATGTGCTGTATAATATATAACAGGTGGTAATGTTAATACTGATAACCAACTGCTGACTGTAATGACCACTTAATAATCTCAATGGAGATCACATCGGCTGAATTATCAATGTCAAAATTAACCAATTCGAGGGATAACAAGAGGGTTAGGCACTGCAGCTTATTTCACCTGATGATTTAAAACCCTAATGCTAACCTAACCTAAACCCTCGGGTACTGTTAGGGTGTTTAGTCATCAGGTGAAGTAAGCTGGTAGGGGAAAATTTCAGGTGATCCCCAGGTTGATCTGTTGACTTCTGTGACTAAACTGTCGTGAGGTATCTTCCCAACATCCCTGAATATAGAGAACAAAAACTAAATTATAGACTCTAGTGGTGAGACAATATAATAATAACATACAAATAATATAATTAACCAATATACTTTAATGTATGCCATCACATACCTTGGTGTGTTATAACTAAACTGTAAAGTCTTCTTTCTTTGTTCCAAGGTAAAAGACCAGATAGGTATCCTAGATGGGTGGGAGGTCTGTAGCTCCTTCCCCATTAGAGACTGATGACAAAAATCTAATGACTTAAGTTTATGAGACTGAGAAGCTGTGTCAGTCTTGAATCACCACACACGGGGAATTAACAGAGCGGAATTTTCTACAATACTATGATATACTTTTTTGTCTAATGGGAAAATTAGGCGGTTGAGTCTGAAGAGCATACTGTAATTTAGTCATCAGCTGCTTGAAAATGAGAAGTTTGAATATATATTTTACTGAATACATTGATGTGTAACACCCAAAAAAAAATATACACTTTACTGAATACAATTAAACAAACTAAATACCACAATAATTAACAACTAAATACATCTATACTTTATCAATATACATCAAGAATATTTCACAAAGTAGGAAAAAAGAAAAAACTTAAATCAGACGAACTCACTTTTCCACCTTTGCTTCTGACGAGGATTTAAGACACATCACTTCATCCCGAGCCTTCCGGGCGACCTCCTCCTGGGATGATACTGCAGGATCCAGAAAAAACAACACACATAGTTACTTAATGTCTGTACTGATCATACTGTATTATGGCCCCTGTTCCCATACTGTAGCCAGGTTGTCAAAGGTTTATATAATCTCCCTCCCAGGTTGTCAAAGGTTTATATAATCTCCCTCCCAGGTTGTCAAAGGTTTATATAATCTCCCTCCCAGGTTGTCAAAGGCTTATATAATCTCCCTCCCAGGTTATCAAAGGTTTATATAATCTCCCTCCCAGGTTGTCAAAGGTTTATATAATCTCCCTCCCAGGTTGTCAAAGGTTTATATAAAAGGTTTATATAATCTCCCTCCCAGGTTGTCAAAGGTTTATATAATCTCCCTCCCAGGTTGTCAGGTTGTCAAGGTTTATATAATCTCCCTTGTCCTCAGGTTGTCAAAGGTTTATATAATCTCCTCCCAGGTTGTCCCCCAGGTTGTCAAAGGTTTATATAATCACATAAAAGATGAGTGAAAGTGGTTGTCAAAGGTTTATATAATCTCCCTCAGGTTGTCAAAGGTTTATATAATCTCCCTCCCAGGTTGTCAAAGGTTTATCCCAGATCCCAGGTTGTCAAAGGTTTATATAATCTCCCTCCCAGGTTGTCAAAGGTTTATATAATCTCCCTCCCAGGTTGTCAAAGGTTTATATAATCTCCCTCCCAGGTTGTCAAAGGTTTATATAATCTCCCTCCCAGGTTGTCAAAGGTTCACATAATTAAGATGAGTGAAAGTGTGGGCACAATGAATAGGTATGATAAACAAGAAGAAGAGAGAGAAGTGATGAATGTAAGAGAAATTTGAAGGAAAGACAAGGAAATTATAAATACATCCTGAATCAATGTAAACTTCTATGACGACTTTTCTCTCTAAATATCTATCAAAATCACCAGACATTTTAAAGGTAGGAGGTGGAAAATTGACAGAATGGATTGATAACTGTAGAGCCGTTGCAAGGCAGTGTACCAAGTGTGTGACAAAGAGTAGGTACAGTTTTTATTTATACATTGAAGCTGATAAAATTTAAGGTCCCTCAATGAGTTAAGATGACAATCCATAAGTAGTTTTTTACAAGAGTTTAGAGATGTGGCAATACTGCTTTTGAGGTTAACTGTGTACAGGAGACAATAATTAACCCCCCTCTCCCAGAAAAATATATACCTCATTATATATATCTTTTGCATATAATCAATGTTTATACTGTATATAATTTGCATCTTTATAGTCAATTTTAAAAGTTCAAAACAAATAAATGTTCAAATATCTGTGTTGGTCTTCTGTCTGGATACCCTGAACTAAAATAATAAAGTACCATGAGAGAGAGAGAGATTTTCAAACACTGATAATTCTCGTCACCATTCCCACCCAATGATGAGGCAACAAATCTGAAACACAGCCCAGACTCAAGGATGATTATATTAACATCACAACTCAGCAGACAAACCAAATGCAGACTAGTGTATTAAGCTTTTTTAATATAAGCTTAATTAGCTCTCTAAAAAAGACAATGAAGCTTAATTTGCTCTCATAACAAGATCAGTAAACCTGACCAATCAGTATACTGTCAAGACACGTAATGCATAAAATAATTACATAAGCAACAAATAGTAGATTCTGTAGTCAACATTATCATCAACAATACCTACTGATCAAATATCTATGTATGACAATGTTACATCCCACAAATCAATTTAAAAAGCTTGAAAAAAAAATGAATCAAAATTAATCAAGTACCTGTATATTAAACCCCATCACACAAGCACTAATTAAAACTACTGTATCATAACATATCGAAAGCAAGAGTACCTGTGTTTTCTGTTGATGTAAATGCAGTACAGTACAGTATTTATGTGACCTTGTTCAAGTACTTATTAAGAGTAACCAAGAATTGATGCAGAGTATTGATAAAGCTGATCAATCATCTTTGATCAACCTCAGCAGCCGTCACAACTCACATAGTCGACTGAAGACTGGTTACTAAAAGAGCTGTGACAACACATCAGGAATTTCTTGCCACAATTTGTGAAGTACTGTACAAAAAAGCCTCACTTAACAATAAGCAAGAAATTGGTTTAACAGCCTTAGTGTTTTAGGGGATGAAAATCAATTTAACCTTACTAACTGTTTGATCTACAAAACAATACTGTGACTGTAGACCAAACCAAACATCACCCAAACCTGGAGACTATCAAAGCAAAATGATGTTTATTGTAACAAATATCTTAATGCATGAGGCAGGAAGCAGTGGTGTTGGCGCCTGGCAAGAGTCGTGCTTTATCAGTGAGGAAGCAACAATTCTTGAAGAAAATCTTTGGGCTGCAGAGCATATTACCTGGTACTTGTTAAGAAGGACTTTACTGTAGGATCTCAAAATGCTAAAATTACCTCTGGTTTAAATGACACTTAATAACATGTACTGATTCCAATTAAATTTTACACAACCGGTACAAGAAAAAAATAATCCTGGGTCCTTGAATATTGTTTGTATCAGATATAGTGTAGGTGTGGGCCTCTCAGGTTAACTTAAGCTAAACACACAATTAATGTTATTCTAACTGATTTATACATATACTTAAATTATTTAGACAAAAGAGGAGTTCAACAGAGGGAACAAGATGCCTGTAAAACTGATAGGGTAAAGTGTATTTAACCCCTTCACTACTGGAACACTTTTATTATTTTATTTCCCATATATACAGAGGCGACTCCGTACATAAAGGGTCAAGCAGTATAGATGCATCGGCTTTAATGCATCAATAATGACGATACAAAGCTATAAACAGAGCCTCTGTCCATCATAATTGAGTAGTTGTAAGTCCTTCATCTGCTTCTGATTGTGTCAGTCCCACAAGACAAACTGTAATTCTATCAATGTCTATTTCAGATACAGTGTTCCCTCTGTGAACATGAAACTCAATGACTATCTCAACATCTTTAGGTGTACAGCAACACCTGAAACATTTGCTAAAGGATTTAGCAAAATATTTTATTTTCCTTTCTGTTTCACCTCATAAAACCATCAATAAAAAGACAATCTTCTTTTAAATTAGAAATATACTTAAGAATGTTACCAACACTTGGGTTATATGAAACATTGATCTACCATCAGATATTACATATAAATCTCTTCAAGTTCTTAATCAGAGGGAGCAAAATACACCTACAGTACAGTATATGTCTACATTACTAAAAAACACTACAAGTACAATGGTATAAAATAAATACTTAAATTTATTCCAACATTGGATCCTTCATGACTAGGAGTAAATAATAAAATAGGCATCAAGGGAAGCAAGCAGGATCATATGGGAACAGCTAAGTTTAAGGTCTTAATACTTGTCAGGCAGTAAAAGAACCAAAACAAATGAAGGTCACTAAGAGCCGTGGGTACAGTACAGTATACTAGGATGGGCGGGAGATGACCGTGCAGTCGGCAGGATGGGTATTACACAGCCACTGGTTTTCATGCGCACACCAGTACCTGATGTAATACTCACGCCTCCGTCCCGCCTGTTGGCATGCCGCTGATGCAGATTTATCCCTCGCCGGCCTCATGTTGCAAGCTTCTGCCACACATAGTCTTGAGTGGGCTGGCTGGCTCGACTAACAGTACATCAGCATGTGGCATCATGGGGAAGCTACCATGCTACTACAGTTAGCATGGGTCATGGGGGTAACTATCATGCTAAACATTAAATAATATTGACTTCAAAATTTTCATGAGAGAATGTTGAATGATTGGCTTTAATAAATTACTGTAGTACATCAATAAGTACAATGTAATAAATAGGTCTCATGTTCTTTTTCAAACTTAATAACATTCAAGAATGAATAATAAAAAAATCACAGAAGAACGTCATCAAAGAGGCCAACATATTCAAAAAACTAAAATAAATAAGCTTGATTTTTCAACAAACTTTCTCTCATGAAACTTCAAAACAGCTGAATGACATCATGCATCTGTACCAGGCTGTCATGCATGTCTCAGGACCCCACCCCCCACCCTCCAAACCTCTCACTGGACTTCATGCTCCGTAATACATACTGTACTTACCAAATATCACAATTAACATTAATAATTCTTGCAAGCCCTGTCCATTATTGGGAGGAATTACTGTATCCATTACTTTACTGAGAAGTCTGTTATTGGGAGGGTTTACTGTATGTACAATCTGTTGAACTAATCCCAACTGGACAGTTGTCATTCCACTTTGACAATTTGATGGGGTTGGGTTGGGTTAGGTTGTGTTGGGTTAGGTTGTGATGGGTTGTGTTTGGTTGGCTTGGATTAGGTTGGGTTGGGTTGGGCTAGATAGGGGTGGGTTAGATAGGGATAGGCTCAATCGTCAAAGTGGCACATAACAACATAGGAAGGGAAACATTCACTGCTTCAAGTAACAAAACACCATGAATGACCACAGGCAAGTTACCATTACAAGATAAGTAGTTTTTTTACTTTAAGAATTTTAATTTGTTTGATATTAAAAATTCTATTATAAACACATTTGCCTTACACTGCCCAGTTAATTCATATCTACGGTAATCTCACTTATATTATCAGAAACACACATAAGAATATATCATAAGGTTTCATCCACCTCTTCTCTACCGTCTACGTTAACACACGGTGTGTTAAAAGCCTAAAGCATATTAACAAGTAAATACCTCTAGTGTTACAGGGGATACTTGCCTAAAACCTGTAAATAAGAAATTATCATCTTTATTACCTGCCTAATACAATGTTTACAAGCACATACTTCTTCTATTATCACCTTAAACCATAATGACAAGTACCGTACATACCTTTTGCAATGCATCCCTAAAACATGATAAACACTAAAAGTACAGTAGATTTGGCTGTACTGTATAGGAATATCTCAAGTTATTGGAGAAAAAGTTGCATCATGCTCTTGTGAATATTTAACCCAGACATCATGCCATGTCACACATCAGCCAAGGAAAACACATGCATGTACTGTATTACTGTAATATGAAAGACCCCATCAATCTATATATTAGGTTTCATAAAATGTTATTCTAAATTTTCCATGATGCAGTTTGCATTTTGTTCTGCTGGAATTTAGGAATAATTAAAGGGAAATCTTTCTCCTGAAATTCAAACTCCAAAATTATCTTTTGTGACGGGATGCTTGAGAGTTACTATGAACTAATACATTCAGCTTTTACAAATGCAGTACTACAAGTCATTCACTTATATACAAATTTCAAGACTTTATCATGAAACGGTCACAAAAGTAATTTAGCAAAGGTTAAGTTGTTAATATAAATATATTTTGAGTAGTATAGATTTTTTTTTACGGGAATTAGCCCACCCGGGAACAGGTCAACGACCCACAACGGGGCCTGGGGGGGCGAAAAAATAAGAACAGAAAGAAATTGAATATAGAGAAGAAAAAGGTTATACTGTGTTAATCTTCACCACAAAGATGCCGGAAAACCAGCTTTTTAAATTGAGACATTGTATAAGTATGGAAACACAAAAGAAGGCAGAGCGTTCCACAGTTTGGCTGTGTGAGGAAATAAATAAATACATAAAGCTTTTATAAAATTTATAGGAAAGATGTCATTTCCAGATGCAGTTTTTATTCCATAGTAAGTAAAATTAATTATTTTCATCATGCAAACTTATCTATATCAAAAAGTAGAGTATAATAGTCAAAGCGTTTCATTGTTAAAGGTTTAAGAAGAGTCATTTAGTATCATGAAACACAGAAAAATGACAGCACTGAACAGGACTCTCATTTTACTGCTTTATAATAGTATGAAACAGAACTTCCAATAGAAACAATATGAAGGGTTAATTGGAGATGATGCGTGTGGTAATGTGAAGACCTAACAAGAATGAGACACTGGAATAAATGTTGTATGCCAGAGACAACACTTCCCAGGGTGATGAAGTCTGTTCCTCAACTTACTCAACACAAGAGCAGGTATAATACTAAAAGAGAACACGACAGTACAGTACTTGTTATGCATCACTATTCCCCATTAATTATCTCCTTCTCAGAGGTTCCTGTGTCCCGTAATACACCCCGTGCAAAAATAGGATAGGAGGATAGATACTGTAATGAAATAAACTACCTATGTACAGTGAAACCTCTATTTAACGTCAACATCGATAAAATAGTCTGTTATATCGAGGGTTGCCGTTAGATTTAACAGATTATGTGGAGAGAGAAGACCGGTATATAGTAGTGTGCAGAGGTAAGTGTAGTGATAATTGGACCCAGATATTTGATAGCCTTTTTTCAGAGACAATGTGGCCAGCACTACATATGACTGCCTTCACTTCTCTGACTGTAAGGTTAGGTATCCATTCACAGTCAGGTGTACTGGGAGTGCTCTTAAAATCTTAGAGTTCAAGGCAAGTGCTGTATCCACTTCACCACTGCACCTCAAGAATTGAGTAAATTAGACATAAAAGAAAAGAAACAACGAACAGAGTGGAGTGTGAAGATGGGACACACCAACAAACATCTGACACAGGTTAATACATGGTGCTGTTAAGTCATCATATTAAATGGGGAAAAAACTGGAATTATGTGGAAAATTGTATTAATGATGAAGAAAGACAAAGTAAATTCAGTATCAATATATGTTTACTGTACCCAAAACTTAGACAGAATAGTGGGCTGGCCATTTACCCATAATTTCTGAACAAGGCCATTGCATGCAGTATCATGGTTAAAGCCATTTACCCGTAACTTCTGAACAAAGCCGTGGCATGCAGAGACTTAGTCATAACGTGCAATGCAGAACTGTTTAAGGTGGTTGAAGGTCGTGGAGGAGGCGTTAGTTGTACAGTGGGTGGTGTGCAAGCCTGTTCGTGAAATCTCACCTGGTAGTCTGAGATCTGCAAGCACCTCAGCGTTACCTTGTGAGATTACACCACCAAGGCCCAGTGCATGCATCAAGTGCTTGTCAGGAGTTAATAGTGATATGAGCCATTAAAATACCAGTAAACTAAAGGAGATCTTAACTGCCAGCTCAAGTTATGCCGTCATCTTCAGCAGCAGTTACTTTGTGAATCTTTATGATCTGGTATTATGATAAAAAAATTGTAGCTTGAATATATAAACATTATTTATGATACTTTTTCTTTTCTTTAAGGAAGAATTAATAATATTATCAAAATTACCAAGACCAATGAGAGGAAATTAATACACTGACTGAACAGCTGAAATGAAAGAAAGAAAACTCCACTTCAGCTGTCAGTCATACTTGGGCTAGCAGTTAGAAGCCTTGAAATAAGAGTTAAAAAACCATTAGCTAGATTAGAACCATTGGGCTAAGTTAGAACCCCAGAGCTGACAGTTAGAACCCACTGACTGGTACCTAAAGACACAATGTATAAACCTTGGACTGTATTAACCCAATGGATCGATCATCTAAACCTTCTGGTCGACAATTAGTATCTCAATAGGACAGCCAGAACCTAGTGCATCATGCTTCATATAATACAACACTCAAAGGTTTTTAACTGTCACACACACACACACCACTCTACCTTAAACTAAACATGCAATTGTTACCTCCTGTACAGTCAATAATGAACATTATTCATATATCGGGAATCTCTTCAAACACAAGACCCAGATCCACAAGTAAAAATAAATAAAAAATGCCCAAACACAAATATTAATGCTATATCTTACACTGTAGGTTCAGGTGTCTAAGATATATCCAGGAAATATTGTTACTCTTTGTACAAACCTCGAGTGTGATTCAAAGGAGTTAGTGTGAGATCCCAAATAATTCCACAGAAACCTTTAACAGAATGCATAAAAGCCTTTAGACATTGGAAATAATTGACTCGTACTGAACAAATTCCAAAGAAATGTTGAACAAAACACACAAAAGCCATAATAAATTACAAATAACTGAATAAAATCCACAAAATCATGAATTTATTTTGGAATTTTGAGAAAACTGTACAAAATTGGGAGCGACATTTCTAGATCACCAGAAATTGTCTTTCCATCTCAACATGTACAGACTGGACTGTTGTAATCAATCATGGCAGTCAAACATTACACTGATTATTAAAAAGAACAACAGTTATTTAACCTTATCTCACTCAATGATTTAACTAATGAAATTAATATATTCACCTGAGGCAAATTATATGATATTTCACCCCAACTCCTCACACTCATCACCAGAGATATACTGTCCACTCTCTCAGTCCTCAGTGATGTGTCCACTCACTTGATTAACACTTGAGGGTATTCTAAGATATTAATTAATGGATCTATACAGTATAAAAGCATAAAAGCATCACAGCACTCATATAAAATATACAAAGCTACAAATGTGATAAAAGCAACTGAAATCCATGTAAGAATTAAACAAGTATTTGCACAATGTATTAAATTAAGCTCTGTACATTTGTAATCATTCACAAAATATATAATAAAATGCATTCAATAAATCATAATTAATGAAAAAAAAAACTGAAAAAACTAAGCAAGCGTGCAACCCTCAACACACAAAAAAAATGGTAACGTAGAGTGTAGATGTAAGGCTGAGTGGAAGGGTGTGCTGGGGTGTGCTAGTGATCAGTAAGGAGGAGGAGGATGTGAGCTATCGGGGGGCTTCTCGCCAGCAGGGGATCACAGCAGCTCAACACAATACCAGTCGGAAATTTGAGACACACTGTGTGCCCTACCCAAATTTACCAGCTGATATTTAGTCGGTCTGCGTTTTCCTTGTCTCTCCCGGGTTCCTTGCAGGCAGCGGACCAACCACCATTGAGAAGCAACCAATCAGTGCGTGCCAGTGCCCATGCCCCGCCAGGAAGCCCCACCCCTTTAGTGATCATGAAGCAACCAATCACCATGCTTCATATCTTAGCAAATAACAATACAGTATGTCAATGTGAGTCTTCCTTCATATCATACAGCTATTAACAACTTACTGGTACAGTTTATAGAGATAATTTACAACACATGCAATTGGATAAAGGCATACAAGACTTTCTTATATAAAAAACTAACATCTAACAATTCACACTAGTTAATACAATACAGTAACTACATACTAAATTAATAAATGGATGAATAAAATAAAATATAAAACTCATATAAATAACATCAAGTCATGCAGTAATAGTAAAAATATGTCAGAGATATTTTCATGAATATAGATACTATTACTTGTACTATCAGATGCATTAACAGTAAAGCTTCAAGAGCTGTATTAAAACATATACTGATGCATTAGTACACCACAGGCTTGAGATAAATAAACAAAACTACTGCTATTTTCCTACCATACCATGAACAGTCATAAGAGGTTACCTAAAGAAACACTAAAAAAATTAATAAACACTTTTCAAAACCTGCTAACTGTAAGCTCTGACCTAGAGTAGTGGTGAGAGACCCCAAGACACTCGTGACACTAACACCATGTCTTACCTTGGGCCTTGAGAGCAACAATCATCTGCTCCTTCTTCGTCAGCTGTTCTCCTAGTCTTGATGCTGCTGCCAGGCCGCCCTGAGCTTCTGCGAGTTGTGTCTGCAGCCAAACCCAAATGCAGTAATAAAATGAGTAACTTTAATATTTCACTTTGCTTACTATCAAGGTATTCACAAAACTTTCCATGTTAAGGGTAATGCTAGTTTGAAATTATGCAAAATTATTTAGATGAAGACAATGAAAGGTTTATTAGCCAGAAAAGAACACAGGGTATGCATTATGAAGCTATATACTGGTACTGTACTGTTCTACATAAACTCAACACTACTCCATACACAAGTTACATTTTAACCACATTGAGAGAAATGTCTTGTGATTTTCTAGTTTTAATAAATACTCTAGAGGCCAGATGGGTAAAAACTCAAACAACTATTAAGATCAGTAACCAAGAAACTCTATTTTCATCATGACTGATGCCATAGGGAAACAGGAAACTGAACTAGACTCTGGAAATATCATAACATTTAAAGTGGATACAAATCATCTGGGGGTAAAGGCGACTCTCTGTGGTCATCCAGGGGTGAGTGTGGGAGACACTCACATAGTAAACCTACCTTGAGACTGTTGGCCTGAGCCATGAATGAGGAGGAAATCTCTTTTTCCTCTTCTAGTTGTCGTCTCGTTCTCTCCGTTGCTTCAGCTATTTCTCGAACTTGATTCTTTTGGAAATCTTGCAGAACCTGAACAATAGTTATTTATTTATTTCAAGATCAAAGCCAAAATTATTGATACACTGTACATATAAACTGCAATAAATTGATAAATGTAAGATATAAACACCTGACAGCTTTGTTGGCTAAAGTGCCTCACTGTTTACCAATGTTGTATACCTGCACTGTCTAGGCACTGTGCATCTTTATCATCTATATTCAAGCTGAACTGTATACCTGCATAGTTTATATACAGTACATGCCTATCCAACTGTAAACCTGTATGACAATTTTACTGAATAAATATTATTATTATATGTACTGTACACATAACCTGGAGTGTTAAAGTTAATGATCATCAACAATCAACAGGTCACCCTCACCTGTTGGAGTGTGGCTAAAGACTGCTGGTACTGCTCCGCATTTTCTTCAGCTGTTTGCAGTCGCAGTACAGCATCGTCCCTCTTAGCTGTCATCTCGCGGACTTGTTCATGTAGAGTTTCAACCTGTACACTTGCTCGCTGGCTGCAGAGAAACAAAACAATATTAAACATATCATCCCACACAACCCTCCCTTCCTATAAGACCTTACACTCTGCTGTCATACAAGTAACCTGCATACAAGTAACCTGATGCTTCCAGTGACTCCCTCATCCCAGCCTTACAATACCTTCTCTCTCTCTCTCTCTCTCTCTCTGTATCCTACCATCCATCTCTTTACTGTCAGATAACAGAGTCAAAAACAGTCGTAATAAATATCATTAGTAAGTTTCATAAATGTGGAATAAAGTAGAAAGTCAGACCCCCAACCAGAATCACCTAAAGAAGGCGCATCAGTAAGTCACTCGGGGAAAAAAAAGTGACAGGAATTCACTACAGTATCTCATGAAAACACAACTCTCTCTGAATGCTGAGCAATACGTACTTGGCGCTGTTGTAGAAATTGGAGTGATTGTTGAGTTTTTCCTCCATCTTGGTGAGTGTGCTGCGTAGGGTTGACTCTCGCTCCTCGGCCTTGATCGCCTCGGCTGTGTACGATTCTTCCACCGCTACGAGATGCTGCCTCAGCCGCTCGCACTCTGTTGCCAAGCGTCCCTCCTTTTCCCGGATATTACTCAGCTGAGGAAATATTAACAGGACTAAGATTTGGTTCTCGTACACATCGGCGAGGCCAAATCAATACATCATCTCGGTGTAAGATTCAGCCAATCAATCCAGTAGTACAGTATTCATAGAGGTAGGCGATGCAGCTATAAATTTTCTATATAAAATGTATACAACTAATGTGTTACTGCTCTACTGTACCATAAGTCTCCAGTCATACAGTGAATTAACATTAAGTGCTGTGAATCAACCTGGATGGTAAGGTTCACTCTATATACTGTTAAGTGGGTTGAAGAAATACTGTGAGGATACTTATACTTCTTGTCTAAATTAACCTTCCCTCATATTCCAAGTCTTACCTCCTTACTCTGGTCCTGGGTGTTGAAGCGAGAGTTAGCTTACCTCCTTACTCTGGTCCTGGTACTGGGTGTTGAAGCGAGAGTTAGCAACACGAAGCTGGTCTCTCTCTTGCTCCACGACTGTAAACTTTGTTCTTAATGACTCCACCTCCTTACGTAAGCCACTGGCCTGTAAACGAAGAGGACTTTCTAATCACTATGTTAAAAAATGTTAGGATGACCTGATGATCAGTTAACCCAGCTTATTTCTTTCACCTGATGATTAGACAACCCAGCTTATTTCACCTGATGATTAGATAACCCAGCTTATTTCACCTGATGATCAGTTAACCCAGCTTATTTCTTTCACCTGATGATTAGATAACCCAGCTTATTTCTTTCACCTGATGATTAGATAACCCAGCTTATTTCTTTCACCTGATGATTAGACAACCCAGCTTATTTCACCTGATGATTAAACAACCCAGTTTATTTCACCTGATGATTAGCCATTCACTCCCTCTTACACAGCAATTTCTCAACCAAGATAAACACTATTATTTACTGTATCTAAATATCAATAAAAAAGTAGAGGTTATATGGCAGCAAATATTACACAAACAAAATATCTTCTATTGTACCTCAGTCTTCTGTACAATTCCATCAGCAGCATTTTTCTGAAGTTCACTCTGAGTCAACTTCATGGCGTCCAGTTCCTCCCGCAGCTTCAGAACAATTCCTCGAGTCTCAGTCAGCAAGGCCTCACTCTCGTGGAGTTGTGATGATAATGTATTATTTTCTTCAGTGGACTGCTGGGTTGTCTGAGGAGGAGGAAACATAATTTACATCACCCAATATTATCCATAAGTGTCATTAATCTCTGTTTTTGAGTCTGAATTATTGAGATCAAGAGAGAAATAGTATAGTAACTAGCCTATTTTGTTTTATTTATTCGTAATGGTAACAAGTTCAAATTCCTTTGTTAAAACAGCAAGTGAAAGAACTCTACACTACCAGTACGTAATAAAGTGGAACCTTGGGTGTTCTTTACCTGATTGAGTACTTGTGTGAGGCGCTGGATCTCAGTGTGGTACGAGACGCTCTCCTGATGCTTCTGTGTGATGGCGGCGATCATGTGGTCCCTCTCAGACTGAAGGCTGGTCAGCTGCTGTTGGGCCACACTTTTGGCTCCCTCCACCTCCTGTATTTCTCGACTCCACTTCTCCTTTTCTTCCAGCAGAGAATTTTTATCTTGTAATAGTTGTGAGTTCTCGTTTCGCAGAGCTTGTTCCTGTTTGTTCAGGTTCTGGTTATCACTTGCTAAGCTTTTATTCTCTCTCTCTTTAGTTAATAATTCAGTCTTCTCTTTCTCAAGTTGGTCAATTTGTTGTAAGAGCGAGGAGAGTTTCGCATCCTTCTCCTTGAGCTCGTTATCCTTCTCCCTAACTATGTCGTTCATGCCCATTTGTTCTGTAAGTTGGTGCCCCTGACTCACCTTCAGCTCCTCAATCTCCTGTTTCAAGTGTAAAACCAATTCCTTCTCACTGCTGAATTCATTCTGTAGACGGCTGTACTCCTCGTTCATGTTGGCCAGTTCCTCTGTACGCTGGTTAAGCATTGAGAGAGCACCATTTTTCTCGACCTTTACAGTGTTCAGTTCATCTTGCATAGCCATGGCACTTTGTTCCTTGTTGTTTAATTCCCCTGAAAACTCTGCCACTTTTTCTCTGAAATGGAAAACCTCTGTTTCATTTTTCTCCAACTGCTCTTTGACAGAATTTAACTCCTTTTCTTTCTCGGTTATTTTTGTTGCATATTCAGTTCCAATCTCTGAGTTGTGTTTCTTACATAAATCTAACTCAAGATGTAAGTCTCTGTTAGTGTTCGATAGTTCCTCTATTCTCTGGTCTTTTTCCTCGAGAGAATTTTCTGAGGATAAGTATTTGTCTCGTATTTGTTTGTGTACGTTATCAATGTTTGTCACGTCTATTTGGAAAATTTGGCCAACGTCCTCTAACACTTGTGATAACGCATCGATCTTATCTTCCTTGAATATAAGTTGTGACTTAATTGCATCAAGTTCCTCCTGTAACTTGGCTGCCTTTTCCTGGTGATGAAGGATGCTGTCTGAGCTGGAACTGGCGGCCCCAAATGACTCACGCAGTTTGTCCCTCAGACCATCCAGCTCACCCTCAAGGACTCTGATGGTCGCATCTCGATTTTCTACGACCTGGTATTGATTGAGTAACTGCTGACCAATTGATTCTCTCTCATGCTTTGAGAGGGACATCTCCATCCGAAGACACTCCAGTTTCTCGTGCAAATTGTCCACTTGATCTTTTAATGTGTCCCGTTCATCTTGGAGTGTAACCGTTTCCAAGTCTAATTGTTGTGTTAGTGATGCCAGCCGCATCTCCAGAGCTTTCTTTTGGTTTCTCAGAGCAGCCGCTTCAGTTTCTAAATTGGCCAAATTTCCAGTCCGTCCTTCAGCCTCTCGAAGCCGACCTTGTAAAGCCTCGCGCTCCGCTCTCAGGTTGGAAACTTCCGTCTCCAGGTTCCTCCGAGCTTCGGACAGAGCTTCCACCTGTACTTGGAAAGCTTCAATCTCACTGGATCTATCCCTCTCCGCAGATGCACTGCGTTCATACGCCTTCACCGTCTGCCTCTCCTCGACCTGTTCCACATCGGCGTCCCCCTCGGCACCTCCCTCGGTCTCCTCCTCGATGGTGGGTAGTCCCCGGCTGCTGCCTTCTGGTGGAGGCCGAATACCTTTCTGTATCTCCTCCAGCTGGTCTCGTAGGTCCTCACATTCTCTCTCGAGCTCCGTCTGCAATAAACACAAAACCATACAATACGGTGCTCAGAATTATGAACTCAAAAATATTATGAGAAAGCACTTGTAAGGTAGCAGGTAGTAGGCAGCTATCAAACAGGGAGGTACTACTGCCTGGGGAGATATTGGAAGAGCGAATGTGTTGTCTAATGTCTAATGCCATATGGCATCACAAATATTATGACCAAGTCCCAGGTTGCTGATCTGACCGACTTTCTGCCTCATTTACACATACAATAATTGCAGGGTCTCGATTGTTTCGCTTACTTTGACAACACAACATACATAGATATATTGTTTCTCACTAATGATTTTTTTTTCGTTTTTGTATTTATTTATGGTTATTATAATTATTTATTTAATATTTTTTTATTAATTTTTATTCATTATTAATATTATAATAATAATAATTATTATATTTTCTCCCCCGAGGCCCTGATGTGGATCAGTGACCTGTGCCCGGGTGGGTTAATCCCCGTAAAACAACAACAAAACAACACTGTTACAGTATTCCAGGCACAGTTCCCACCAACACATCATTACCACAAATGTTTTTCCCTTTACTAACTTGAATACAGTACAGTATGTGTATTAAGACGCTACTATGGCACACTTGCTGTTTTCCCCAATACAGACCTACATCACTTCTACAATGCCTTAGGTTAAGAATTAGTTGCTAATCACTCAAGAAGACAAACAAGTCAAGTCACATCAATCTGGAGTAACATATAACCACCCAGGTGAGATTGGAAAGGCCTATCTCTCCTAATCAATTATCAAATACAGTATTACTAATCTCCTCAGTAATCACTAAGACTCAAGGTCTCTAGTGTGAGTCTCATAATCTTTCATACATTTTAGTCTCAAACTTTCATTAGAATTTGTCTGATATTAAACTTGATGCTGTATTTCTCTTTCAGTACAGTATATAAATAACCATATAGTACTGTTTACATGTCTTTATATTCAAACATTAATAAACATGTAACATTAAACCCACACACTATTAAATCAGTTCAGTTAATAAGTCACACTTTCATAAACAAGATTCTGAAGAAAAAATGAATAAAATAAACGTACTCTTGTTGCCTCTCCTTCATTCAGCTGTTCATTCTTTTCCCTCAGTTCCTGTGTGATCGTGGACACGTGATGCTCCAGGGTGTCTCTCTGCCACACAGACTCACGTAGGAGTTCAGCAAGTCTGTGTACGCCAGCCTTCACAGTTTTGGGACCCTGCAGAAGATAAATCCACTATTAAACACTCTTGTAGAAGGACAACACCATAAGTGACAGTGCATGAAACGAGATCCAGTTCTTTCTGGTAATCTAGTCACACCAACTCACCAAATCATAGTAGGAAAAAGCCACCACAGTTTCTATATATCCATCCACCTATAAAACTTACAATGGACAGTTAACAGAACCCGACTCCACATCTAACTTGCATTAATTATACCCAACGTACGCCACAACTCAATACACCAGTGAGCCCTTGTCGCTTGCACTTCCCGTTCTATCTCATCACCTTGAGTAAAATTTATATTATTTGTATACCGTCAAAGTTATTGTTAAATAATACTGAAAAAATCATCTTGAGATCAGTGGAGGTTTACCATAAGCTGCAATACTGTTTGATTAGGTTTGGTCAGGTCAGGTTAGATCATGTTTGGTTTTGAATAAGTTGTAGTTAGGTTCAGTTAGGTTACAGTTGATACAGAGACAGTAGATACAAGGAATACAGAGGGAAAGAGTGCAAAAAAATATAATAATCAACAGCATAACTTGCTCACCTCCTGAGTGTCATGGACGAGGCCCTTGTTCACCTCCTCCATTTCTTCCCTCTTTGATTTCTGATGATCCTGAATATCAGTCTCCATGTGTTTTATCTTGGCTTCAAGTTCTGCTATTGTTGTATTGAACATTGTAATTTCTTGCACTTTAGCTTGTAGCTCAGACTCCAGCATGCCTGACCGAGCCTTGGCATCCTCCAGAGCACGATGGTTATTGTGCAACTCTTGCTCTAAATTATTCTTGGCAGTTTCTATGGTAGCGAGTTTCTCTTCTAATTCCTTCTTTTGTATCATATCCTCCTTTTTGGCATCATGGATGGCTTTTCTCTCTGTTGCTGATACGGTGAGTTTGGACTTTTCCTCTCTTTGGCTTTCAAGCTGTTCGGTGAGACTTGCATTTTCCGCTGCTGTTGCGTCTCTCGTCTCCTTCAGATTTGCTTCCGATAACCTGACTTGCTGTAGCTCTGCCTCTACCTTTTCCAGAGTGGTCTTAAGCTGTGCATTACACTGACACAACTCTTCATATTTATCCTCAGATTTATAACTCTGCTTCTCTTGGTACAACTGTTGAACCTGAGCCTCAAGATGTGACAGTGAGGTACATTTATCACTTAACTGGGCCTTCAGGTTATTTAATTGTTCAAGATGTTCATTGCAAGTTACCCGAGATGTTTCTTCATTCTCCTGGAATTTAAGCAGCTCGACTTGAAGACGTTGCGCCTCCTGTTCCTGCTTGGCCTGATCCTCCTGTAACTGAGCCACCAGCTGAGTTAACTGGTCATGTGTCTTCTTCATCACTCGTGCCTCCTCTTGTAAATCATTCTTCTTCTTCAGGATTATTTCTGGAATATGATACATTTTTTTACAAGCTGCTAAAGCAAGAAAATTAACAACACTGTATAACTGCATTTGCAAGAACAAGAATGATACCATTTTTAATGTTGAAAACGAAAAAGAACAAAAATAAATTACTGTGTTTATCTGAGGACACAATTATCCACATACCTATAAAAATCTTGATGCACTGTGCAACATTTATGATGCTAATGATGACAACAACATACCTATGGCTGCCTGGTATTGGGAGTCCAGTTCTTCCAGGTTTTTATCATTCTGTTCATTTTCAGTTCTTAGTGCAGTACATTCCTCACTCAGTGTAGACAATCTCTTCTCCAGTTCTCTCACCGATTCAGCCTGAAAATGGCGAACATTCCACACTAGAAGCAAATTTGGGGACTTTGGTTCAGTACAGTAATGAGAGGAAGGGAGAAGATGTGGGATAAAGGGTCACATGAAGATTAGCCCCCTAGAGCTAATTTCACCTGACAATTAAACACCCTAACACTAACCTAACTCCCCCAGGTAGCATAAGTGTGTTGAATACATCAGGTGAAGTAAGCTGGTGATGACTATGGATTTGATCATTGTAATTAAAGTGCTGTAGTGAGCATGTAGTGTTGACGTGAACATATAACTGTAATTAAAGGATTAAGACATCATACTCAAAGGGCTTCACATCTAATGGAATATTAATCTAAGGGATTTCATTCTCCACATAATCGAGGCTCTACTGTGGTTAAAAGTGATTACTGTACTATGTGCCTATCTATCCCCAGTACAGTATTACAAAGATCTGTACACAGTGAATACCCAACAGTACTGTAATAATGAAATGCATTATCTGATTAATATTTTTTGTTTTCTAATATTGGTTATCTGTCAACACATTACAGTATCAGGTGTATCATACAGTACGGTACTCACCTTCTGTTTAGTTTCCCCCAATTCCTTCTGAAGCTCGTGGAGGGAGTTCTGGAGATGGGTATTGTGCCTCTCCAGTTGTTTCCATTGCTGTAAGAACAAAGTTTATCATCACACACACGCACACACACCTTCTATGGTCTTAACACATCAACCTACACACAGTAAACCCAACACATGACATAAACCAACCACAACATTAACACAACACAGCCAAAAAAAGCTTTTACTACTTTTCCCATGAAAAGTTTGGACCAGTTTGGTAGTATACATTAAAATTAATACTGTACTGTATTTACTAATGTACAGCACAGTGCCTGAAAATTAGGTAAATTAATGAGAATATTTACTTGAGATTCATAATTTAAATTACAAAAATGATAATAAAGTATGATGTTATATACAGTCCAATACTGTATATACTTCTTGTATTTTGTTATCAGTGAATTGAGGTAAAATTATGCATTAGACTAAGTTAATAAGGTATACACATATTCTCTCGGCTCACCTCTGTACACGGACTATCACTGCCATTTTCTGCTGCAGTAACACTCGCTTGCTCTGATAACCCATCGTCACTCTGGAAAATAAGGATAAAATACATATAGGTTATTATATCACTAGTTATTAAACACAGTTATCCTATTACAACCAAATAACAAGATCACAAGACGAATAAACACTGAAAGATAACAATAGTGTGTTGACCTACACACATACACTTTACTCAGGCATTCTGCAACAAAAACTTAATGTGGCTGGAAAATTGACTTGTGAAATGGTGTAACTCACTAGAACATTGAACATAATTGTACAGGTGTTGTAGTGAGCAGGTAGTCAGAGTGAGGTAGAGTGAAGTGAGAGCTCAGGTGTGAGGGAAGGATATAGACATGGGAGAAACAATGGTGGGTGTGTGTAAGTCGTGAGCTGAATATATCACAATGATGTATAATAATCACAAAGAAATATACATCAATTGCTCTTATTTCCTCACACACACACACACACACGACTGCATATAGATGTGTTAGCGTGAAAACGATACTAAAATTACATGTACAGTACAATCACGAACGCACCACCCTTTTCTACTCACAACCACCACAACTACCAGCATCACTGTACCACCATCACCAGCAACTACCACCACCCACAACCACCACAACTACTAGCATCACTGTACCACCATCACCAGCAACTACCACCACCCCAACCACCACAACTACCAGCATCACTGTACCACCATCACCAGCAACTACCACCACCCACAACCACCACAACTACCAGCATCGCACCACCATCACCAGCAACTACCACCACCACCACAACTACTAGCATCACTGTACCACCATCCCAGCAACTACACAACCACCACAACTACCAGCATCACTGTACCACCATCAGCAACTACCACCACCCAACCCCACAACTACCAGCATCACTGCCACCATCACCAGCAACTACCTACCCACAACCACCACAACTACCAGCATCCGCTGTACCACCATCACAACAACTACCACCCACAACCACCACAACTACTAGCATCACTGTACCACCATCACCAGCAACTACCACCACCACAACCACCACAACTACCAGCATCACTGTACCACCATCACCCAACTACCACCACCACAACCACCACAACTACCAGCATCACTGTACCATCACCAGCAACTACCACCACCACAACTACCAGCATCACTGCACCATCACCAGTAACTACCACTACCCACAACCACCACAACTACCAGCATTACTGTACATACACCACCACCTGCAACCACCCAACTACCAGCATCACACCACACAACCACCACAACTACCAGCATCACCACACCACCCGCAACCACAACAACTACCAGCATCACCACACCCGCAACCACCACAACTACCAGCATCACCACCACCCGCAACAAACTACCAGCATCACCACCACACAACCACCACAACTACAGCATCACCACACACACCACCACACAACTACCAGCATCCACCACCAGTCTACCACTACCAGCAGAACTCACAAAGCCCTTCTGGCCAATTGCTGACCAGCCATTCTCTTCGTGGCCACATGCTGACCAATCACAATTCAGGATAACGTCATCCTTCTCTCTTCTTCTGTCTCTCTCTCTCTCTCTCTCTCTGTCTGTCTGTTCTGTCTGTCTTGTTTTTATGCTGGCAGTCACTATACCTACATCACCGTCACACTACCGCAATTTATGAGGTACAGTTACCGTCACACTACCGCAATTTATGGGGTGCAATTTTAAATCACACTACCGCAATTTATGGGTACAGTTACCGTCACACTACGCAATTTATGGGGTACAGTTACCGTCACACTACCGCAATTTATGGGGTACAGTTACGTCCACTACTGCAATTTTATGGGGTACAGTTACCGTCACACTACCGCAATTTATGGGGGTACCAGTTGCCGTCACACTACCGCAATTTATGGGGTACAGTTACCGTACACACTACCGCAATTTATGGGGTACAGTTACCATCACACTACTGCAATTTATGGGCCCAGTTACCGTCACACTACTGCAATTTATGGGGCCCAGTTACGTCACACTACCGCAATTTATGGGGCCAGTCACCATCACACTACCACAATTTATGGGGTACAGTTACCATCACACTACCGCAATTTATGGGGTACAGTCACCGTCACACTCACCAAATTTATGGGGCCAGTCACCGTCACACAACCACAATTTATGGGCCAGTCACCGTCACACTACCACAATTTATGGGGTCCAGTCACCGTCACACTACCAAATTTATGGGGCCCAGTCACCGTCACACAACCGCAATTTATGGGGCCAGTCACCGTCACACTAGCGCATTTGTGGTAGTCACCGTCACATTACCGCACTTTATGGGGTACAGTTACCGTCACACTACCGCAATTTATGGGGTCCAGTCAAGCTTAGAGTGCGGGGAGATATGATAGAAGTATTTAAGTGGGTGAAAGGAATCAATAAAGGGATAAAGTCTTTATAATATCCGAGCAGGATAGGACTCGGGCAACGGATTTAAGTTGGATAGGTTTAGGTTTAGGAGGAGATAGGAAGGAACTGGTTCACAAATAGGAGGTGGACGAGTGGAACAAGCAGCAACTTTGTAGTAAGTGCTGGAACGCTGGAAAGTTTCAAAAGGAGGCTAGATAGATTCATGGATGATAGAGTGGTAGTAACTCTCGACAGGAGCTGCCATGCACAGGGCAACCCGCCTATTGCAGACTCCTTATGTTCTTATGTTCACCACACCGGGGGCACCACTATCACCACGAGGAGACTTGGTAAACGCGAGCCACACTATCACCCACCTATATCCGCCACCAGCACCGTCACTACCACGTATACACAGAGGGGAGATCCGCGCGCCTCTGCTGCTGAACGCTGACTGGCTGATACTGCACCCACGTCTACGTTAAGAATGGCCAGGAAGAGGAAGGGCGGGGCTTAGAGGTGAGGTGTGGACAGGGAGGGGCGTGAGGGAGGTGAGGGTGTGGACAGGGAGGGCGTGAGAGGGAGGGGGTGTGTGGAAGGGGGATGTGGAAGGGAAGGGCGTAGGTGGGGATGTGAAAGAGGTGTGTGGGGAGAGGGGCGTGTGGGAGGGGCATGTGGGGAGGGGTGGATGGGCGTGGGAGAGGGAGGCGTGTGGGGGCGTGTGTTGAGGGGTGGAGGGTGTGGAGAGGAGGGAGGGGCGTGTGAAGAGGGAGGGCGTGTGGGAGAGGGAGGGGGTGTGGGAGGAGGAGGGTGTGGGAGAGTGAGGGGAGGAGAAGCAAGGTCATACTATAGAAGAAAGATGAGAAATAAAGAGGAAGAGAGAAACAAGGATAAAAGTGACGCTACAACACACACACACACACACACACACACACACACACACACACACACACACACACACACACAAGGCTTATCACTATAATCCCCCGAGCTGGGCCGTTATTTTCTCTATCTATTTTTCCGCGTTATTATTTCTATCGGGTGATAAGGTGATAAACCAACCCACCCCTGCCCACCTGTCCATAGTACCCACTCCTGCCCATCTACTCACTTCAGCCCACCTACAACTCATTCATCAAGGCCCACTTATAACCCACCTTCCCACCCACTCCAACCCACCTCTCTAATCCTCGTTCTTTAACCCACCAACCTGGCCATCCACCTCACTCCCTGTGAGTCACTGTCCCACCCAGCCACCCACTCCGCAAGTGACACATACACGCCGCTGTCTTTCATTAGTTACTGTGTGTAATAATAATAATAATAATAATAATAATAATAATAATAATAATAATAATAATAATAATAATAATAATAATAATAATAATAATAAACGGTTTATTAATAGAGTTGCAGCGGGTGGCTGAAAATATGCAGACTTACATTTGATTTAGACATGATATAATATGCATTGAATACATTTACAGGGCTGTGCAGTACATGAATCAGGAGTTGTTTATTATTTTAACAATAGATGGGATGGTGCTGTTTTATCTATCGTTGCGGGTGTGTGTGTGTGTGTGTGTGTGTGTGTGTGTGTGTGTGTGTGTTGTGTGTGTGTGTGTGTGTGTGTGCAGGTGTGCATAGGTGTAAATGAGCCACTAATAGCACATCTCAGTCCACACCTTGTCCACTCAGCACCAATGAACTGACACACACACACACACATACATACATACTTACGAGTCATATTGCTTTTACGATTATCATTATTATTATTATCATTATAATCACTCATTAACATGTACGTGGGTATAAGAGTAACATCCCACCACAACAAACACCCTTGGGTCGAGGCTAATAACCACCATCAACTCCACCTCAACCTCAACATCTTTTCCCAGTAAGAACAACCCCCTTACGTCATCCTGTTTCTCCCAACCGATGGTGAAATGCAGGACACACTTTACACGTCTGACTCAAGGTTCCAAACTCTCCACAACCTGATGTGAATATTATTAGTTAACACGAGGAAGATTATTCCCAAACATGATGCCTATGAGACTCTACCTCAGTATTGTAGGGAGGGAGGGGAGGGAGGGAGACAGAGGCACAGAAGGGAAGGAGACAGGTAGAGAGATACTACACGAGGAAGGATGGAGGGAAATAAAAGAGAGGAAGAGATATAACTAGGAGCAGCAACACCTCAACGTCACCTGGGATTATTGGAAGGGGTCACCTGAGATAATTAGCCCAGGGTGGAGATGGGGGAGGGGAGGGAGGTGCCTTGGAACAGAACACTGACCTTTCTTAACTAACGGTAGCATTTAAGGAAAGGGAGTGAGGGTGTGGTATTCGACGGATGGAAGGGAGTGTGTGGTGGTGGTGTAGGAGTGCTGTAGAGGACATTTACTTATCATCCACCTCCTCTCCAAATAAACAAACAAACAAACAAACACAGTCCGCCACTACAACAAAATTCAGCCCATTAGAGCCCGCACCGATAGATATAAGAACAGCACCATCCCATCTATTGTTAAAATAATAAACAACTCCTGATTTATGTACTAAACCCCATGTATTCAACGCATATTATTATGCTAAATCAAATGTA